GCTAAATGTTTATTTTCCACTGCAAGTCTTTTTGGGTTCAGAAACCAGTCTTCCTTAGACCTAAGATCTTTGAAGAGCTTGACTTAATAGATATGTTCAGAATATCACTGCAACAGACTGGCAGCTTTTGAATTATCTTCAAAGCATACTCAGTGGAGTGTTGGCCCCTATTTGTAGCAAAATACCCCACTGGTTCAATCAGTTGCATTGAAAGTAGAATTTTGGATGCTTGCCCTCCCTATAACTCCAAAATCCCAGGAGAAGGTTTTAAAGACATTCTGTTGAAGCTGGGCCAATGTGCAGCTACAAGAACAAGAATTATGGGATTGAAAAATTAAAAATGTTAGGAGGGGATGCTATCCCTGGGCACCATTCCTCCCAGCTGATTTCCCTGCTCACTAGGATTAACGTATAAGCCTCCCAAAAAGGCAGTTCCTTGAGGTGTAACTCTAAAAATATTGCAAATGAAATATTTAGTTAAATATATTAGCATAAAATTGTCTACTTGTAGTAAAATAATGAACATCAAAAGCTATGGGTTTGACTTTCTCAATAGTGAACCAACAGCCGCTCACCCTATGAGGGAAAGGAGTTCTGTTTACAGCTCTGGACCGGGCTCTTAAGTGATGTCAGTCATGTCACTCAAGATCACATGGGGCATTTGCACAGTGTTTAAAAAGCACAGCACACTCAAGAGCATAAAGGTCTGAAGGAAAACTCAAAGCTTGCTTCCCTGGTCTATCCCTTTCTAATTCAGGATGTTGTACAAATACAAGACCCTGGCTGTAACCTGTAACAGCTTCTCCTTCCGACACACTGATTAGTACAGCATGACGGGTATAAGTTAGAAGAATGGGAGGACGCTGAACTTCTCTGTGCTTATCTCTAATCACTCATCTCTCTGCACAGTGGGGGAAGCAGAATCGCATGCTACCCTCCTTTCTGCTGCACTGAATTCGATAAGAAGGAAAGTGCTTGCTCTCCCTTGGTGCCGTTTCTCTGCTTTGCCTTGCCATGTACATTTCTGCCTTCTACCATACTCTTCTGCTGATCAGTTCCTCCCACCCACCAATAAAAAGGAGGATGTGAAAGATGACTGCTCCCGTAGTTGGAGATCAGGAGATGAAAGCCCTCGCTCTCTTCTTGCTCTAGCGCTACTTTAGAGTAACTCCATAGAACTGAACGACATTGATCCAGACTTTCACTACTACGAGCAACAAGAGAAGAAGGTTTAAAAGCCACTGGATGGCTTAGAAATAATGCCTTTCCATAATACAATTCCTCCTGAGATAGTGCCTAAAAGCACCCAACGTTGTAGCTGCCAAAACCCCAGTTACACGTTTTCTAAACAGTAGTAAAAAAAACACGAGCCTTTAAAATGGGGTAACGCCTACGTGTCCTTGCTTCATGTACATGCCAAAGTACTAATTTCTTTTTATTCCCGCTAGGGGACGTGGGGGTGCTATTCCTCCGCCCCCACCTGGACGAGGTGCCCAAGCACCCAGAGGAGCTCCAGTGACGCGTGGAGCGCTCCCGGTCCCTCCAGTAGCGAGGGGCGTTCCCACCCCACGGGCACGGGGTGCTCCGGCTGTCCCTGGCTACAGACCACCCCCACCACCTGCACATGAGGCTTACGAAGAATATGTAAGTAACTGCATGCATTAATAGTAGATGTCAGACCCAGTTGTATGGCTAACTTCAAGTACTTCTAAATTTGAAGATTCTAGTCTAGTAATTCCTCTCTTTCTATGACATGCCTCATACTGGTAAACCAGAGCCTGAGTGATGTAATGTCTGCACACCTGTGTTTTAGGTAATGTGGGTTCCTGTAGTTTTTCACAGCTTAGTTTTGGATATGAGAAGGTCATGCTGATTAGCCCTTAGTACATCACAAATGAGCAATATAGATACTCTAAAGACTGTATTATAGCTAAAAGGCATTACTTACTCTAGGCAAGCTCTTAGGAAGAGTAAATTATGTCCTTTGTGAGAAAAAATGGGGTTTTTTTTCTTCTTCTGAATCCTTTTTATGACATATAAATAGATATATTTGTATATTTACTTGCATTCAAAATTAAGTGCGTTGTTAGATGCATAACAGAAATAGAAATTCAGGTAATTTTCATGAAAATTGATACAATGATGCATATTTAGCAAGGAGTATTACTAACTGTCACCTTTTCTTATGAAGTGTTATAAATAATTGGGCTGTAAACATCAAAGCTTTCAAGTGATCCTCATTAATGTTCCCTCCTGGAACTATCACCATAACAACAGATATTCAAGTAGAGGAGAAAGTACCGTGGAATATAATGTCTGACTTTTTCCAACTGTGGCAAGTCTAAGGCTAAGATGAACATCCATCCACTCCATAATCCTAGTTTTAAACTATCATTAGGAGAACCGTTGAGAAGATACAGGTTTTATTCAATTAGAGGTTTTCCTGGAATAGAAGAAAGAAATTGAAAAAGATATATATTCATTGTTGGTAAAGTTTTACCCAACCACCTGTATTTGTAGAATAGAGGTTAGATCATGGCCACTTTAAATCAGGATGAAATTTCTAACATTCAGGTTAAAAGTAAAAGTCCCTTCTTATGTTTAGTGACAAAGACAAAGACGAAGAAAGTTATCACAGTTTTATAACATAATAGTGAGTTTGATAAGGTGACACAAATTGCATTAGTACCAAAAGTTACAACTGAACATCAGGAGCAAAAAGCAGGGAAACAGTCAGTCTCTGTTGTGCCCCTTATCATTATTTACCTTAACACAGTTTCCATCTTTAAAGGAAAAGCCCTGATGAAAAAAGGAATTTAAAAAATATATAACTGTCCTTTATAGATAGCATATTATCTCTTGGTCTCAAAATGTATGAGATCTTCCTGTTCTGTGCAGAACTGCATCTTCTCCCAATCCACGAGTGACAAATTTCAAAACAGAATCCTTGCAATTTGAGACTAAAATTATAAATGAAGGAAATTTTTTTTCATCTACAGTACTAGTAAATGTCCTAGAGTATTAAGCAGTTTTTAGGGAGTAATTTTTTCTGGTAGACTAATATACAGAAAGCAGGAGGAGAGGTTGAGGCAGCTGGGATATGGAACGTTAGGAAAACCTTCAGCCAGTTCCACGTTGTTTTGACATGCTTATACTCTCAGGAACGAAAAAACACACACAAAATTAAAAGGGTCATTTTAGTTCATCATAGATTATTTCTTAAAACAAACAAATGGTTTATCATTTCTATTTTGCGTACTTGTGTAGTAGCAAGAAACATATTCATATGTTTGAAGTGCCCTTGGTCTCTTAGATCCTTTCAACATGTATACTCCACAGCTGAGAATATATGGACTCCCTAAACTGTCCGTCATCCAGCAGTTTGCAATGAAAATCTCTTGCCATTTTGAAGAGAACTATGAGTGTAATCCAAATACTATTTCATCTTGATGTCTTATGGACTGAGATAATAATTAACCCTCTCTTGGTGTGCAGGTGGAATGAAAATTTCAGCGTCATATCAAATAAAGATATAAATTTGTAAATAATATTTTAGGGGAAAGACTTTCAATTTTACATGAAAGAATCAACCCAGTCTTTCTTTCTGAATAAACCACTACGTTACATATCTGACTGGATTCTAACAACAAGTGAATTAAAAAGTATATGCAGAGGAAAGAAATAATGATTACATGAACTTTCCTTGTTTTAAAAAAAGTTCATTGTGAGTGAACTGGGATGGAGCACCTAACAAACAACTGTGCAGCTTCTGGAATCAAAGAGATTGTTTTTGGTTTGTATTTTTGGCTTTGTGGTTTTGGTTCGGTTCGTGCATAGTTTGTAAGGTACTATTCAAAATGACTAACCTTAGTTCAGGGAGACTAATCTGTACAGGCTTCCTTTCTATTTAAGGAGAGGTCTACTAGACCACAGTTCAGAGCAGAAGCTTGAATTGGTCATTATGAACTTTCCTCAGAAGAAACTTCTTTCACAAAGCTGAAGTAAGCCCTTGTCATTATCCTCTGAGACACATTTTAAACCTGTAATCCACAAGCACTGTTGCGCATAAGATGCCCTTAGCTACTGAAAAGTATTCAAAACTGTTCTAAAACTGGCCTTCCGGACGTTGCCTTCTGGTTATTTTACAGCAAACCATATGGTGTTGTTCCACATTATATGCATTACAGATCATACTCGTAATCCTTCCACTAATACTGTACACAAGTTGAGCTGAGTTATTGCCTAACACTTCTTTCCATGCAGAGCAATACATGACAGTATCAGTTGGCAGCAATGGCTCACTTACTAACAGAGTTTTCAGGAGCAATGATTTACCACTGAGCTGTACAGTGCTTTTTTTGTTACTCAAAGAAGAGCCTGAATGGGATGATAGGCAGGGCTGGAATGCCAGCAGCTTCAGTTACAGCTAATGATAAGAGAACTATTTGAGATTTATCAAATGAAATTTGTAAATTAAGTTAATATTCTACATTAGATTAGGCAGAAACTTTTTGAGTAGAGGGAACAGTACTGGAATTGCATTTTAATTGCCTCTCTTTGTCTGCTAGACAGCTGATCTACACCTCTGGTAATGTTTCTATATAAGTGTGCCAAGATAGGAGATGGTAAATAAAACTGAGTTCAAACCTTGTTTCAGTCCTTCATCATCACCTTTATTGACAAGGCCAATGGAATGATTGATTTTGTGTCATTTTTTCATTACAAAAGTTAGGGTTTGTTTGCTTGAACACCCACTTTTATCATCTGCCTGAAATATAGTAAAGAAAATTAACACGGGTGTCATCTTTACAAATTGCGGGGAGACTTCTAGAGTCTTTTCTCAAAAAGAAGAAGCAATTTTAAAAACGAAGGTTTTGTTGGCAGCTTGCGAGAAGGCAAAAAGACAATAGACCTAACCGATTGACATTCATGATTTACACAGCAGGGTGAGGGCAAGAAGTGCTTGAATAGATCCTCCACTGGAAGGAACATCCTATTGAGGCAATAAATCCAGTGGTCAAATAATATATTCTAATCTGAGCATCCAGACGTTTCCACTTGATTAAAGCTAAATATTTGGAGGGTGCTTAGCTCACATATAGGCCAAAAACAGAGTTGCTTTTTGATCATATTTTGCAAGGCATTTGACTCAGGAGCTGTACTTCTGTCTTCTGAATCAGAAACTAGTAATGAGTTGTGTGGTGATATTTTTCTTTACTTTTTTTTAAGAGCTATGGTAAGCCTTGCTAAGAGATCTTCTATGAGTCTAGAAGTGATCTAGTGGTTGTCCTCTTGCCCTAAGCTCAAAGAATATTTGCCAGTTACAGTTGCAAAACAGAATAAATTTGAGACTAAAATACCTAATAAATTGAATTTTCACTTGTACTTGCATTTTCATTTCTGGATGAAAAAGAAAGGAGTTCTACATAGGTAGGATGTGATTCTAATGAAATGAGGGGAACTGAGAATTAAAGTTGTACTACCTTAGCCAAAATGAAACACAAAGTTACTCTGCCATATTTCCAGCACAATTAGACATGAGGATGAAATATTGCACTTCTCTGCAATATTTTTAACGTATTAAATATGTAAGACTTTTCCACAACATCTTGTACTGAAAGCCATACTTGTACTGAATATGGATACTTGTATTCATATTAATATGAATACCTAGATGAGTTTATTGTACTTAAAAGAAATATATAATTTGATTACAAGAAATAGGCCAGTCTGTCGAGACACTGGGAAGCTTCTAGGTCCAGGGCAGCTAGGTTAAAGAGCACTTTTAAATGCAAATATTCTTTCTCACCTCTCATTTTACTGATAAAATTGGCCAAATACAGCTTTTAGTTATCTTCTGGAACATGTGAAGAGCAACGCCTTTAGAAAGTCACTGAAAAAGAACTACACAATAAGATAGATTGTGCTTTTAATGTCATGCTGTTCTTTCTCTCATTTCAAGCTCTTTAAAATGAAAGCAAATGTCACAGTCAACTGTTTATTCTAAACTCAATGGCTATTTACATTTTTCAATAGTTTTCAAACAAACCGAAACAACTATGCTCATGTTTATTCAGTAGCAGGCTAAACAATGAAAAGACTGACAATAAGAGGCATTTTGTTACGCTTTAACATTTTAAAAAGAATAATCAACATTCACATGTGGCTATGATCCCAAAATTGTGCTTATGGAGGCTTTGTTTAATATTTTAAGCTGGAACTCTTAGGGCATTTAAAACCATTCTCTTGTCTACTTTGAATGTGGATAGAAACTGCATAAAATGACCTACACTTCTGCTTGATGCCGTGTTTGCACCTATATTAGTGCTTTAATGAATATGTTAAACTAAGGAACTCGTACTTGATTCTGCTACTTTTAAAGTCAATTCCTATAATCCCAATAGGACAGTTTCAGTGAGAGTGAGACCAGGATAACTAGGAGACTTGTTCCAAACCTTCTAATAGGGAAGTTTATTGGATATAATGGCATTCAAAGGGGATACTTTTTTCCCTCTGAATTGATATTTCCAAATTTTAGGGGAGACAGGTTTTTTTTATTCCTGTGTCTCTTTTGGATGAAAGAATCAATGAAAAATATACTGAGGCTGAAGATATTTGAATAAGGCTGAAATTATAAACATGGG